GCATGTGCAACCAATGTGCGGTGAACACATGGTAGCGGCTTGACAAAAGCTGAGGCTGATTTTCAGAAGGCCACTGGAACAGCAGAAAGCAGGTTGAGACCAGAAGGAGACAGAAATAGAGCATGAGTCACTCTGCACAAACAAGTTTTATTAACTAGAGGAGGATGAGGGCATTGCTGACAGAATAAACAAAGGAAATGGACATTCACTGACATAGCGCTGAGCATGCACTTCTTGCAGTTTGAACATATGATGCAGGTTTTATTAAGCAGCTTTTAATTAGAAAGGAGGTGTCATCTCATCTTGTAACTCTCAGTCATCTAAGATATTGACATGAGCCACTTTTTCTCACTGCTAAAAAAGATCACCATAGACAGTCTAAAAAAGCTGCTCTGACTCTGACTTACTCTCGGCACAAAAGTGCCAACACCTGACTGTTAGGGTCATGACAGCTAGTGACAGATCTTTCACTATCTTAACCCTCTGCTGTCATCCCTTTCCTCAGTGCAAATTCCCTTCACTCTACACATGTCTATCTTTTCTCCATATTGTATCCCCAAAGTAACGTGAGGCAGCTCTTATATCTTGAGCTGGGATCGCATTTCTAATAGTTTTGCATAATGGGTCAAGGTTGGGGATAGTGTGTCCATGCTAAATTAGAGAATTTACTTCAGGAACCCTTTTCCATCTGTAGTCTTGTGGATATGGATATATGTTGTGGGACCTACCATGTAGACAAATGGAAAACTTGAGGTGGAAAACAGAGCAGTGATGTAAATGATAAGTAAGGATGATTATTAAATCAGAAAAAGCAAGACAGGGAGAAGCTGGCACAAGGGAGGCTTGCAGAAGCACAGCAAGCTAAAGATGTTTAAATATAGAAAGCATAAATGCTCAGGTTATATCCTGTCTTTTGCCCTGTGGCATTTGGAATGGGCTTCAGCCCCCCTTCCCGACAGGAGGAAAATGGATTGATGATAGGATGGATGAATGAACAGATGGATCATAGTTCCAGAAGTCATAGAGTAACTTAGCATATAAGCATGCAGGCACACTGGGGACACAATGGATATTAATAGTTATAAACAATGTGTCCACAGGTGAAAGTATCCTTATTCAAAACATATAAACTATGGAGTAACATCAGTAAAGTACAAGTTGTCCTCAATGGAGTCATGTCCTTTATTCTCACACATGCAGACCTTATGATAACCTCACACTAACCACACACAGTGTCGCAGGGGATCAACAGAAAGTGGTGCTACAAACTGCTAAATATATAGAGTTTGCTGATCCAAAATACTGAGAGGGAAGCTGAAATTTGGCTATTTGTGTACAAACATGTAAATAATTTTGATTCTGATTGGAATCTATTCTGGTTCTATGCACCCAGCTCACCCCCATAAGTTGGAGGGGAAATCTGAGAGAAGAGGAGAGGTCTAAGTCCGACATCGATGTGAAGCCGAAACAGAAAAGAGCAAATGAGAGGAAACCTTTCCTTGTGAAGCTAAGGTGTGTTTTTTTTTTAAGTCCTGTTCAATAAAGTTGTGGGGGGGATTGTAAAGTCTCAAACCGAGTGAGCTCACTGCCTGCGGAGTGCGATGTGATCCGATGTGTCATCTATTAGCCACATGGCTGGGAGTAACAGAAGAAAGAAAGCATTGCTTTATTGGAGGGTCTGCATGGAGCAAGGACTTGATTCTGGCAGAGACCATTTGACCATGTGGAGGGTTCTTTGTTTGCTTCAGGCTCAAGAGAAACCTTCCTGTGATGAAGTCCCAAAGAGGACGAGTCAACAAAAGTCTGAATGTGGGTGGACAGCGGTGGGGTCTCCCCTGCTGCACATCGCAACCCTTTAAAAGTTTTATAATGAGACTTCTGAGAATGTGTTTGCACCGAAATATCCCTGAAGGTTTCACAGCAATTGACATAGGAAGCGTGTCAACCAAACAGATGCAAAACAAATGTAATATTGTTCAGGGTCCGGGCTCTGACACTGAGGGGGTCGCGGAAAGATCACATACAGAGTTATTTTCCACTCTTTGTGATTGTCCCACCGCCATTAATATAACCTCTGCTGAATTAGTCTCACCTGTGATCAAGTATTCTGTCCATCTCATTACTAGACTCTTATGTTTAACCTCGTCTGTTGCCAAACAGACTTGTTCTTGTCATAGTCGAGCAGGTGCTGTATTGAATTGTATTTTTATTGTTTCTAGTTTTTTTTTCTTCCCTCGTATTTTTAATTCCGCTGAATCCTTAATGTCCTTATTGCAGAACCTTTTGCTTGTTTCGTGGTTTTTAAATGCCTTTGGTGTTGCTCTCTCTGTCTCACATGTTTGTGTTACAATTCCTGTCTAGATGAGGCTCAGTGGAATAACTGCATTATTTGATGTTCATATTTTCCCTCATTTTGTGATACTCGTATGAAACACTACCTACTAAACATATTAAAAAGTTCCAGAAACTCAATCTTAGATCCTGAAACATCTACTATATTTTTTTTAACTTTGGTTTTGTTTCATGATAGCATCACAGCCGCACACTTCAACATTCTCATTAAGACTAAAGAGCCTGCCTGTTTGAAACCTGATTATCCTGTTCACT